CGAAATGGTTAGGATGACGTAAAGACAGAAATCCCGAAGGGACCGCTCAGGTAGATTTTGCAGTCATACTTCGATACTCTTTTGCGTTACGCAGTGACATTCTGTGGAGCAGTTGTTTTGAAAGTTATGGACCAAAAGACACCCGTTAAGCGCAGGGGAGGTTATAAGGTGCGTTTAACTATATATATATAAACACTTGGACAGTTTGCAAGACACGAGTTCACAAATCTTTGATTTATATTGGAAACCTTGCCAGACACTCTTTCTCTCTCTTTGACCTAAATAAGACTCAGCCCCAAACAAGCAAGACTAGTGAACAACGGCTAGCTTATCACTAGCTGATTGATGGTCATTTACAGAAATTCGCCGACAATCAAATTCTGTGCTGACTTATTCCCTGCTCACAGATGTCCTTCCGTTATAAAGTTTAAGGCTAGAATGCGCGTGAATCGATCAAACGTCCTTTTAATTTCTAAGGCTTACTTTCCGGCAAATAAAATGAACTGAATGTAAAAAGGGAAAGCGTTTCCTGTATTTATCTCACCTGTTGTATGGAATATGTGTGAAAATCTTCATTATGAATCGGTATATTTCAAAGAGCTACACAACGAGCAAGAATGCCATTGACCGACAATATACAGAGCGGGGGCAGATGTAGTGTCAACTATTACTAGTTCTACGTTTCAGTCGGGTAACAAGAAGCCTCGGGAAATTTGAAAGGAGGTTTAAGGTGATTCCTTAGTAAAAGAACCTAACATAGATTGTAGATGAAACTTGGTGCACTGATGTAACAAGTCAAGAAGATGATAAAAAAGTAATAAAAATTGGGAGTCACCGTCCTCGTTTTGACGTCACAATGCTGACAAATACGGCTATTTAGGACCCTTTCACAAAAACCGCGGGCAGCCCAAAACTAGACAAAAAGGAGAGTTTTTTTTTCGATCATGCGTGTGTTATCACACAGAATTTGACTTTAATGTATTGTTTATCCACTTACGTACCAGAAAAATGCCTTTTAATGCCCTTGTTTTTACTTTACGCTCCAAAGTAGAATTAAATTGGACACGCGCTATTCACCCGTGATAGCTCAATCCGTACAATTTAGTAAAATTGCCAAAAAACTGAACATAGATTTGTGCCAATTTTTGTCTCATCGAAAGGAGGCACTGTCCTTATTAAAATCATGAAATTAAAAAATGGGGGTTACGGCACTCGCTTTTGCGGTAGAGCTACAGAAAGTGCGCACGAAATGCATTTCCTCCGATTTTTGAGAGAGGACTGGAGCAAGTGTCAAAAATAGAATGTATGTGAAAGGGGGAAGAAAGTATTAATCCTTTTTTACAGAGTTTACATCGAGATATCACATTTAGGACACAATGTGATAAAGAAAGCATTTAAATGAAAATCAAAGTGAGTAAGCACAAGTTAAACATCCACTATCGAGGTTCTCCGGGAGGAAGTCGTACTCAGCAACACGCGTACTGCTTGCGTTATGCACATTCCCAACATATCGAGTCTCACCTCGGCAAGAAACAACAGCAAGCAAAAATTCCAATAGCGTTTCTCTTCAGTCAACTTCATTTTAATATTGTTACTTCACATGCTCTTTTTTACGGCGGCCATCTTGTTATGCGCAGTGAGAGATGCGCAGTGCAAAACCAGGGAATCACCTTAAATGATTAAACTGTGCCAATATTCATCTACAATGTGAAACCGAACCAACGGTAGATTTGTAGCTAGACTTAATAATACATATGTGCTATAATAATATTGCCCATCGCTTCCTCTGCAAAGCTGATTTTATTCTGTCAAAAAAGATCCCTCAAGACACTTCACACTTTTACATAGCAGGTTTACAAAGCCACCAGACTGAATCTGAGAACTGACTTTCCTCCGGAACCTCATAAAGTGTTACGTGCATAACACCTTTTCAAGAAAATAATCCTTGCAACAGGAAGGGACTAAGAAACGGTCAAATAGGGAAAAAAAGAATTTTATTCGTATGCAAAATACGCATGATTTGCTCGTTGGCACTCTATCGATAGGTACACCTAGTGGTATGACTAGTAGTAATCTCAGATTCGAAAGTGCGTTCGAGCTTTTTTAGGTTTACTGTCAAATGTGACGTTATTTCCTAATAAATTGATGCTGCAAAACGCTTCCTCTATGTTTTTTTAAAAGAAACAAAACGACTACGAAAAAAAAAGAAAAAAGTCTCACCCGGCAGGAGTCGAACCCGAGACCCTCGACGTGTTAGTAGCCTGCGTGGCAGGCGTTCCAAAGGGAAGGGAATTAAGGCGCGAGACCTCGCGCGAGGGAGGAGGGAGGAGGGGAGTTCCCCCTTCCCCTTCCCCTTTTAACGCCTGCCACGCAGGCTAACGTGTTAGGGCAACGCATTATCCATTGCGCCACGCAACCATTGCTATGACGAAATGTTAAATTAATTGTATTTAACATTTTTAGCCAAGATATTCTGCCGACGGACGCTCCTTAAAATCTATTGAATTTGAAAGGTATATTGGCCTTAATTCGTTTCGGCCGAGCCGACATCGATCCAGGTAACGATGTCCACCAAGGAATGGCGAAGGCCAGGAAGAATCTCACTTAACTTAGAACAATTAAGGAAATCTCAAATAATAGAAAGCTACGAAATGGCGAAATTATTCTAGAGTTAAACCAAGAGAGGTCTTAGGTAATGGTAAATGATCAAAGTTAGTAACTTAAGAGACAGTTTAAAAGTCAATTTAAAAAAGATCGGTTGTCAATGAAAGGTCGAATATTAAAATTATGGAAAACCTATAAATGGATAAGGTTATTTATTATTCATTCAAAATACTTCTCCTTTAATGATTGGCCAAACTAAAAAAATAAAAAAAATAAACTCGCTTTATTTCTTTTAACAATTTACAAGAAAATTATACAAATCTAGCGGTATACTGGCCGTATGCCGAGATTAAAATACTACTGTAAGAATAAAAAATATATCGTTACATTTGGACTTGCTAACAACTAAAGATGAACGTTCTTATGGTAGATAGAAAATAATGTTACTAATTATAATTTCTGTAAATTTGACATTTACTTGTATTGTTTTGTGTATTTTTATAGTTATAATAAATAAGTAAGTAAATAATAAATAATAATAATAAGATAACGTTCTTTAGCTTAAAATAACACCCGTTTACATAAACAATGTTTTGCCCTAAGATTCATCAATTCATATGCTTCTCATGCGTGAAAAAGTTAAGGTCCATCAGTTCCCCTGTGGAATTCAGTAACAGCTACTGTAGTTTCATATAAAATTTAGAAACGTGACCTCCTTTTTCGTGGTAGCCTGTTCACAGACCCTCTATTTTCTCTTCAAAATCTGTCGAGCGCGGGTGATAAAATATAAACAGCAGGGGATTTATTGACCGCCAGCGCAAGGAGGTAGTGGTTGGGGAAGAAGACTCGCGCTTCGCGCTCGTTCTCGCGCGCTCGCTTCGCTCGCCGATGTTTTCGAAAAGAATGATAAGAAAAATAAAACAACGTCTGTGTAAAGGTTATTTTCGTGGTGCCAACTATGGTGTTTTCGTCATTCAGCATTTTAGAAAAGCAGAAACGTTTTAAATGTAGCTAATGAAGCAGCATTCCTAAGTTTTAATAAGGGTAATGATTCAAGCACTTAAAAAGAGAAGGATGTCTAGTAAATTAGCTAGTATGCGTTATTTCTTAGCACAGGCAGCAGAAACACGTGACACTGAATATTACCGAAATACACCCAGGTTGATAATTATTAAATACTCATGATATCTCCCAGGAAGTAAGCCTTAAAAATAATTTGATCCTCATCATGGTATTCAAATTTTGAAAAGGATTGATAATTAATATATTTTTGAAAGATTACTTTGAGGTAATTACTGGCGCTAGAACTAAATATCACATTAATTAGGTGTGAATGGATAACTTATCTAGCATGTTTCGTTTTATAACTCTCTTCTATTAATATTGGTGGGAGAAAATGTTTTAAAAATAAGCCTTCTCTTGTTCGCATGTAAAGAAACGAGCAAACACGATACTGATCCCGCTTACACATTCTTCTCGAACTATACGTGTTATTTTTCAGCTATGAATGGGTGAATCTTGACAATGTTTTCTTTAGTTTTACACGAGCGTTAATATTTTATTGATTATTGTTATTTTGGCTTGCTTCCAGAAAACACGATAATTTACACTGTCTACTCTGTGTATTCCTCAACCTCCATACGATCCTTAGTAGGGTTAGTGAGCCTTTGTCTGTCCTGTTGTTTTGTATTCTCAATAACAAAGTTCCTTTTAATATATTTATATCTGTCCAGTTTATAATTGGCTTAGTTTTCATTGCCTCCGGGCAATAAGAATATTGTTATATAAATATAATATAAAGATTTAATGAAGGCATTTATCAGTTCAAAACAAATTCCTTCCATGAGAAACGATCAAAGTATCTCTTTGGCCTTAAACTTTTGATTTCGCGTATGTAACTTTAACACTGACTGCGGTCTAGCTCACTAGCTTTCCATCTACATCATTTTATACCTGGAAAGAAACGACGAGCAATCTTCAAATCATACGTACTGGAACGTTTAAAAGTCTTCAGTAAAACACGAGCAATAGCCCAGTGTTTTAAGAGGGACCGGGGAACCGATCAATTGCATCGCATACGAATGAAATTGATGACATTCTTGAAAGCCACTAGACTCAACGTTTGCGAGCCAAAGATCAATCAAATTCTGATACAGGAAACTCTAGCTCTGATTCCTTTAGCGCAGTTGAATCTGCAGCCTGTGCAAATTTATATTAGACTGCAAATATTTTATCCTGATTCACAGTGATTCCTGAAAGTGGAGCGTAGAGTTTTGAACAAGAAAGTCTGGTGCTCTTGATCGCTACTGCCGGTAGGGATCGAAAGGAAAACGCCAGTCTTCCATTCACGTACTGTCAGCGGTAGAAATCCCAGTCACTTAGCTTATCTGGAGGCGATGATGGAAGCAGATGAATCTTTCGACACCGACTTAGAGGGAGACATCGTTTTCGAAGAACTTGAGATCGCCGAGGGAAATGACGAGGTTGAGAATTCAGGACAGTCAGTTCAGGATATTTACCTCGAGGCATGTAAGAAAAATGAAGTTTTTCCCTCATCAAGATTCTTGAAACAATGCTTAAGTGAAAGCGTCGATCTGAGCCATTACGGCCTCGGAAATCCTGGCACAAGAGCCGTTTGCACAGCTTTGGAAAAATGCTCAAATGTAATAAACTTACAACTTCAAGACAATGGCATTAATGACAAGGGAATCGTGTCAATCGCAAAGATGCTGAAAAGAAATGTTCATATAGTCAGGGTAGATCTGTTGGGCAACCATATTGGCAAAGGAGGTACTGATGAACTAGGGGATATGCTACTACAGAACAACACCCTGAAAGAATTAAACCTTAGCAACTGCAGTTTGCAAGGGAAAAACTTCGTTGTTTTTTGTAATTCAATTAGGTTAGATGCCCCGTTGACATATTTGAATTTGTCATACAACGACCTTGGTGACAAAGGGGCGTCGTTGCTTGGGTCGGCCATAAAGTGGAACACAGTCCTAGTCACTCTGGACATCAGTTGGAACAGCATTCGGGTCGAAGGGGCTCGGGTCTTGGCTGAGGGATTAAAAATGAATACTTGCCTCAGAGAGATGAATATTAGCTGGAATGGCCTTCTTGATAATGGCATTGCATCTATGCAAGATACATTGTCGTGCAACCAGACGCTCAAGGTCCTGGACATCAGCAGTAATTGCATCTCCAATAAAGGCGTTGCTTCCATTGCGAAGTTTTTGAGGACGAACAAATGCTTAGAAATGTTGAAAACTGGGCGGAATCCATTCCAAAGCTTCGGTGCCTGTATTCTCTTGCGGGCAATACGAAAAAATCCATCGAGCGCTTTGAGAGAGTTGCAAATGGACGATATAGTCTTTGACAAGGATTGCGCCCGAGAGCTTGAACTTGTGCTGGAAGGAAGGCCATATTTCACATGTTCCTGGGATATCAGCATAACGGGAGAGCGCAAATCGGACGAGATCAAGAATACGACTGATATTTTTGATGTCTACTTGGCTTTCGTTCGCACTCGAGGGCTACGCTTGATCGAATTGTTTAAGATTTTATCGAAAGACCGCGATGGTGGCAAGCTCAGTAAAGAGGATTTTGTAAGTGGAATGAAGAAGTTAAATGCGCCATTTCATGACATGAAGTTAAGGGAACTGTTTGATAGAATGGACCTAAACGGTAGTGGTGTCATCAAGTTTCAAGATTTCGTTGTTTGTTCCCGTGGACGGTATTCACATTTAGGAAGACATATTTCAGCAGCAACTTAAAAAAACCCAAGAGGGCCCGTGTCATCATCATCATCATCATCACCACCACCACCGCCACCACTACCATCAGCATCATCATCATCATCATCAGCGCCACCACCACCGACACCACCATCATCATCATCATCATTATCATCATCACTATTATTATCATCATCATCATCACCACCACCACCACCACCACCATCATCATCATCATCTCCACTATCATCATCATCATCATCACCACCACCACCACCACCGCCACTATCATCATCATCATCATCATCATCATCACCACCACCACCACCACCACCACCACCATCATCATCATCATCATCATCATCATTACTGTTATCATGATCATAATCTTCATTAAGGTGTCTAAGCGTTCTAGCGCCACTTGGCACTAATTAGGGACACCTAAAATATAAAACTAATGATATCAAAAGGAAGATGCATATCAAGGGAATGTCTAATTTCTGAACTTTTTGTTACAACCGTTCCCAAAAATTCTTCTTACCATGATTTTATTCCAGGAGATCCGGTTGTCAAACCTCACGAGAGAGCTTGAAAAAAATGGCACTTCAATGTGTAACGGCCCTAATTATTTCCATCTTGGTTATCCCGGTAAAAACACCTCCCTGATTAAAATTTTCCTTGCATTTGTTTGAACTGAGACTTTTAACAAAGAAAAAATTGTATAATGTTCGCAAAGAAAATCTACGTTTGTTTGAGAAACTTTTGTATCATGTTTACGGCCATCAAAGTTTTTCTTCAAAGACCTATTTCTTTGCCGTTGGTTTTTGTTGTTGTTATTTTTTCTTTATCAATGACAGCACGAATGTGACTTTTGTTTGAACTATTTCCCATCTCTTTACCACACTAACGACTTATATGTTAGCGTGATTACATATAACTGTAGTTTGACGTGCACATTTAGGCTGTGTCCACATGAATCCGAACATTTTTGAAACCGTGTATTTTTTATCCGGAGTTGTTTGGACAGTTCACTCTATACAAGTGCGCGGTCTGGAGGGAAGGCTTGGAACCGAGCGCGACAGCACAGGTGACGTCACATTCCAAATCGACGAGCACAACTGGAATCGAGGCTGGGTTAGAGTAAAAGTTGAGTAAAAGGGTG